CCTCCCGCGCCCCGGCCGCCCTCCCCGTCTCCGGCGGTCCCCCCTGTTTACTCGGCAAGATCTCGGCCCGCTCCTCGATCTGATCTCGCCTCGGTCCGCGGGTGGGGTAGCTGCTCCGGCGCGAGGGTTCGGGGGTCGGTAGAGGAGATCTCCGCGGCCGCGATCCCCGCCTCCATTGCCTGAAGCCGCGCCGTCCTCGTGGCAGCTGGGTGTCCGTGGCTGCCGCGCATTCCATGAATGGATGGGAGGGAGTCGACCGCGACGTCGGGGCCCAACTACTCGCCCTTCTATGTGCAGCACCGGGGCATGGGCCCGCCGGGGGGAGTCCCCGGAGGCGGCCTCCACGGCCCGCCCGCCGCCGGGTACCGGCAGCAGCTTGATGCCGTCTCGGGCGGGTACGCCTTCCATCAGCCGCCCTTTGGGGCCCCCGCCCACATTGGGCAGCAGGCGTACCACCAGAACCATGTCGAGGCGTCGCAGCAGCATATGGCGCAGCAGCTCGGCGCCAGTGGCGGCGGCTCGCAGCATATGACGCAGCACAGCGTTGGCGGCGGCGGCGGAGGTTCACAGCATATGGCGCAGCACAGCGTCGGTGGCGGTGGCGGGTCGCAGCATATGGCGCAGCACAGCGCCGGCGGTGGCGGTGGTGGTGGTGGCTCACAGCATATGGCGCAGCACAGTGCCGGCGGTGGCGGTGGTGGCACACAGCATATGGTGCAGCACAACGCTGGTGGCGGTGCCGACGGGGGCATGGACATTGGCATGGGTGTTGTGGCCCTGAGCGGTGATGCTAAAGGGGATCAGGGGGGCGAGGCTGGCCAGGACGAGCAAGTGAAGAAAAAGCGCGGGAGGCCAAGGAAGTATAAGCCTGATGGGTCGGTGACGCTGGGGCTCTCGCCATCTCCATCCACGCCTCATTCGTCGAGCCCAGGAATGGGCGCAATGGTTACCACACCTGGCTCAGGATTTGGGCCGGGGACTGGGTCAGGGGGTTCTGGTTCGGGCGCACTGACGGAGAAACGTGGCAGAGGGCGGCCACCTGGGTCCGGGAAGATGCAGCAGCTGGCTTCTCTTGGTGAGCACTTGCAGCCCTGTAGAATTTATGATCATGTTGCGCGCTTTGGTAATTAATTTCTCAAGTGACATAGTATTTCCATTAATGCTATAGGGGCAATCATTTTACAGCACCGTTATAAACATGATTCGTAGATTTCTGGCATGTTTTCTGGTAGTCGGTTGGATCTACTCAATTATGTGATGCCATATTGCTACCAGTGATAGCATTTTCATGATAAATTTGCTTCATAGATATGGAAACTATCTGACTTATATGTAGTAGTATGTATATAAATTCTGGAAACCATGTTTGTATTGTGCGTCTACTTTTAAGTTTTTCCTATATTACTCCCTAATCTGCAGTAGCTGCCGATGATTAGTTGGTTGGTTGTTACTCACTTCTTTATCATCAGTTGGGATATATGACTGTTATCATGCCAAATATAGTTCCCTACATTCTTTTAATGTGTTCTGCTGCTACATACATGTCTTCAGGACCTACTTATGAATCTTCTTTGAATGTCATATTTTTTCTCCATCACTTTTTTTTTAAGTTTTAAGATGGTCAAACTGAAAATAATAATATACTCTGTATCTCTTGAATTGATGAATTGCGCAAGTTGTATGTTGACTTCATTCTGTTAAGCTAGCACTTTTCATCTGTTTTTTCCTCTAAAAAAAGAAGAAGAAGAAAAGTAGACCTTTTGCGGTCCTACCTTTTTCTTCTTTTTATACTTTGATGCATTTGCTATTGGTGTTATCTGATGGGTTCTTTTTCTTCAGGAAAATGGTTTCTTGGCTCTGTTGGAACGGGCTTTACTCCTCATGTGATTATTATTTCGGCTGGAGAGGTAAGATGAGAATGATCAATAAATGATAGCTGTACTTGTTTCTACGAATGTTGCTGACGCACTATCTTTAATTTTTGGCGTTATTAGTCCATAAAACTGCTGGATTTTTGGTCCCGTAAGTGATGGAATATTCTATCTAATGCACCGAATTGCCTTCAAATTGTTTCTTGATTTGCCATGTTATAACATAACAGATGGCGTAACAGAAAAGGCAAAGGCTTCATTAACCAATAGACTAGTGCAGGCTCTTGCTTGTTAATCTTAAACAAAGTCTTTATATCCTGTCTCATATAATTAACTCCATAGGCGGCATTTAATGGATGTATGCATTAATCCCAGACTTTTTGACAGACAATTGGATGCTGTGGAATCATGTTGAAACTTAAAAATAGTAACTTAACTGGAGACCATCAACCACAGTACTAGTAACTTAACTGGAGACTATCAACCACAGTACCATCAGTGTGGTGGGCAAGCTAAATTATTTAGATAATTGTATCTGAATATTTTGTTTCTTTCTGGAAATACTACACAGTTCTTAAAATTGTTATATATGCCTGGCAGTTTTGCGATTTTTATAAGTTCTGTATCTGTGCAGGATGTTGCCGCCAGAATAATGTCCTTCTCACAACAAGGCCCAAGAGCTATTTGCATCATCTCAGCAACAGGGGCTGTCTCCACGGCAACCCTTCATCAGGATTCAGACTCCGGTGCGGTGACATATGAGGTATCTTGCTGTACGTGTTTAATACTTCGTTTCATTGTAGTAAAAAGACTAGCTATGTATGACATGCATCCTTTTGTTATTCACATGCACTCTTTATTACAGCAAAATATATACCAAATATAGTGCTTCTTCAGTGAAAAGGGTAAAATATACCTCTGTCCTGCACCTTGGCCCATGTTGAATGTGCTGAGCTCTCTCCATTTATCAAAATGCTTTACTGCTGGCAGCTTCAGTAACCTGTCATCTAGTGGTCAAAATATCCTGATTAACCCACTGATTTATTGATCAATTGGATTGTTTGATATCTAAAATATGAATATGCTTATACTTTTGTTCCAAATTAGTTTTCTGTACCAAGAACTTCTGCTAGTAGTTTTTTTTCATCTAACATTTCACTTGTACTGTTTTATGCCCCTTGAGCCTGAGAAGAACTATTTTGTCCATATGCAGTTCATGACCTTATGTATTATCATTTGCTTTGGCAGGGTCGATTTGAAATCCTGTGTCTTTCTGGATCATATTTGGTGGTAGAAGAAGGTGGTACCCGCACTCGAAGTGGAGGCCTTTGCATAGCTTTGTGTGGCCCTGACCACAGGGTTATCGGTGGGAGTGTTAGTGGAGTCCTGACAGCAGCTGGAACTGTTCAGGTATTAAATCTCAGAATTTTGGGTGTTTTCTTTTCCCCTGTACCAGTTGCTTTCTCGGCATGCAGGGAGCCTGGTATGAGTATTGTTTTACATTCTGATTTATCGTGGTTAAGTCATTCCTCTGGTTCTTACCGGTTGCCCGTGTATTACACCAGGTGATAGTGGGAAGCTTCATGTATGGTGGCGGGTCAAAGAAGAACAAAGGCAAAGCGGACCAGGACGTGGAGAACGAAGAGCAGAACGGCGGCGGCGGCGGCGGGGAAGAGACCCCCACGTTGGCGCTGCCGGAGCACCCCCACAACATGCTGCCCCACCCGATGAGTGGATGGCCACCCGGCCTAATGAACCAGATGGACCCGAGAGCGTCTCCCATGTATGGCAGCAGTTCAAAGCAGCAAAACAAGACCAAAGCGGAGCAAGAAATGGAGGACGAAGAGCGCAACGGCGGTGGCGGCGGCGGTGGCGAAGAGCCCCTCATGATGGCGCATCCCGAGGACAACATGGACCCCGAGCATAACATGAACATGCCGCCGCCCCACCCGATGGGCGGGTGGCAGCCCGGCCTGATGCGGCAGATGGACTCGCGCTCCTCCAGCATCGACATCAACTCGATCCGCGAGTAGCTCCGTCGTCGCCCGCCGGAGAGACCGCTCCTCGACTCCGGATCAGACGAGATGAGATGAGATGAGATCGTCACTTTTAGCAACCACAAAGCGAGCATCGTGTACCGGGCCTACTGTAGATTGCGGTGTTGGGGATTGCTGCTGCTGTGGCTGTCGTGTTAGGAATGGAACCCTGCATATCGATTGATCATAGTATTGGTCATTGTACTGCGATGTTGTATTAGAGAAGAGATGGCGATGGATCCTACCTACCTATACAGGAAGAGAACGGAGGAAAACCTGGGTATTTTAGTTATGGAATAATGTTGGGAATGTACTGCACCAAGTACTCTACCTAGCTTCATCCACCTAGCTAGTTTTTTTTTTTTTGAGCTGCTTCTGCCTAGCTTCTCCATCCATGCATGCTAGCTCCAACCCATGATTCAAGCTTGGACATATATTTTTGGTAGTTTATATTTCCTATATTTTAGTTATGAGGAAGCTGGTTCAACTTCCTCATAACTTAGTTCACATGGGCCAACATTCCACTAAAACACTAGCCCATTTTCAAGTGGAAACTTGAATAGGTCATTCCAGTGGTTATTTTGTACAACAGGTTCCTCACAGTTTCTAGTTTCTAGTGTATATGTAGGCACAATCCACGGCGCCCTTGTCATGAATCCATTGTTCTGTTTCCTATCCTTTTCGTTTTCTTTTTCGAAAAGAAAATCAGGGAACCAAGTTTCAGAGACAACCGAGAGATTTCAGTAACAACACAGCGCTGTCAAAAGGTTCAATGGTTACATATGCATTTTCATGCTTCACAAAAACATGGGAAAAAGCAACATTGCCTTGTTTGCAACTTCTGCAAAAGTGATACTGACTTGTTTGCTACTTATCAAAAAGTAGCATTGCCTTGCTTGCAACTTTTTCGGCTGATGAAAAAGTAAGGTTTTCTGGTTTCCAACTGAAATAGGGGCCACCTTTGTTTGTAGTGGATCGTGTTTTAAGGCGGATAACTATAATAAAACAGGCCTTGTGGTACCTATATTTTCTTACGATCGAACATCCCCTTGATAGCTAGGGTCTCAAAGAGGTCGCCCCCCGTTCTTGCTAACGACGAGTATTTTGGAACGAAGGGAGTACCTATTAAGCCGTTTGTAAAGGGGATCCGATGGGTTGGTACACGTGCACTCTATTTGCTCGACTAGCTCATGATTTAGTCAAGCATCGGACATTAATTTTGATTGCCTAATTCTCTATCTACCGGATAATTACACGTGTGTTGCAACGGGGCTGCAAATAGTTGTACTCGATCTCTTGTGCTATTGTAATATTTGTACTTGATCTTTTGTGCTATTGTATGCATCACCCTCCTGGTTGAATATGTCTGTCACTATTCACTGATCTTCATCTGCAGCAGTTTTCGTTGCATGTATTTTTCCATTATACCACCAATTTAGGTTTATCCACATTTCACTTCCTTGCAAACACATTGTCTTGCCAGTCCTTTATCTGTTGTGTAACAGGTTTCGGTGTCTCCTTGCGGCTGGGATGGAAGTGTTGTCTCGAATGATCAAGCTGGCTATTTGTGTCATCTGTCAGTATTGTTATATCGAAAATAACTCTCTACACATGGCGGCATATGCGCACGGCCCCAATTTTTATCTGTAATTATTTTGGAAAATAACTCTCTAACAAAAATAAAGTTATTTTCATGACGTAGGACCAAACGTGCAAGCAAAAAGGCACGTGTGCCAAAAAGGCAAGCAAAAAGATGAAGATAAGTGAAAAAAGCCATTTCTATACAACAAAGAGGCACTTGTGCCAATACCAGAAAAAAAACCCGACACATCATATATTAAAAAGGCACTTACGCCAAAGGGTGCGTAGCTACCACCATGCATAGGAAATCGCCTCTCATTGTTATATGGCAATCATTGGTGGCATCGTCTTCTTCAGCGGCCTCTTTCTTCGAGCCCTTGCGGACAGGGTCATCCGCCTGGTCCGCCCATACTATTGCAGCTTCATGCCTAGATCAGGGTGATGCCGCTGGCGATATGCTTGATGATGATTCACACTAAAATTTATAAACGAAAAAACTTAAAGAGTATGTTTTTTGCAATATTTTAAAGAGTAAGGCAAACACCAATATTTGTAATTTAAAAAACGTGGCAATATCAAAAGGAAACAGAAAAGCAAAATATGTACATGCATGGTGCTTGTGTTGGCGAATGGAGATATTTTTTCAGCATGGTACTAGTTTCTCTTGTGCAGCTGGATGATGTTTCATAGCCTGACATTTGGTATAGTTTGGATTTCAGAATTTTCCTGCTCATTGTTAAGGTCATCGATTTGCAGTCTCCATATGAAAGGACAAGTTTCACACTTCAACATTGGCAACCACATTTCACAATCGTTTTAGAGTACGGAACGGTAAAACACAAAGCACTAATACCTAGTTCGAAATTTCACTTGAACAAAACACAAAATATAAACTAAAGCAGGTTTAGTCTATTTCACCAACGCAGAACTTGAAATCAGAACATGAGAAGCACTAATTCGAACCCTGCGGTTAGGGCCAGCGCTAACATTTGGAGGCCTTTGTACGAACAGGGTAAAATGCTCCAATAGCTATAATAGATTAGAAGAAGTACTTCCATGGGTATACATTGCATACTAGGAAAGTCATTCTAAAGCATAAACATAAAAAAATCACTAGGGTCTTAATACCCCTTGTATATGTAACTATTGGATACAAATGATGATGATATGATTCATAATCTCCAATATAAATGTCTACTCAAGAAATATAGGGTGTGTCTTGACATGTATGGGAGCAAGCTTCGAACATTAAGCTTCGAACTAGAGGCCTCCAGTTAGACAATGTACCGAGGTAACCAACTGGCCACCACAATAGTTGTGATAATTATAGGTATGACAACATACTTAGGTATAAAACCGATAAGACATGCAGCCACGCGAGGTCGTTATCATCACCACTCATTTCCACGTGATTCGTGCTACTCCAATACATTGATGTCGTATAACGTTTTCTGGCCAGCATACACTAATTGGTATAGTTCTCGTATTGCCTCTGCGCCCCAATAAATGGCTGACATGGCAGGCTCACGCATTGAAACAATGGGCGCGTTGATTAGAATTGATTACACGGCAGTGCGACGTAGCTCCCTGGCACGAGAGAGCTATTTGCACCAAGCTGCCAACTAAACTAATAATATTTTTTTTTGATCGTAAACTAAACTAATAATAGGTCATGACGCATTGGCTTAACTAAGCAAACGTGTTCATAATCAGGTGGTGGACATTGCAAGCTATTGCTTTGTACTAGGATCTCAACCAGCCTAGAAAGGTCTCTCCAGAGTAGTGAATATTAACGAACATCTAACCTTTCGCCATCGCTGGAGCTTGATGCCATGGCCAGCCTTTTCTCGCAACACCAGGTTGAAGACGTGGGTATAGTGTTTTTTCTTCTTCTGTGGGTATAGTGTATTAGGAGCAGACTGCTAAGTGTTAAGTGCTCCATTGGAAGCCTGCACACTGGCCATAATCACACCGGCTCTCTCCACCCAGCATTGTTCAATTTGGAGTATTTTAGTTTCATCACATGTTTCAGACTACTAATTTACAACTAAAATCCTTACATGTACGAATTTCTTACCCAAAAATAATCAGTTGAACATCATTCTTCATGCTAGTTAACTCGAATCATGAAAAAAGTCAGTGCGCCACTAAATAAAAACAAATCAGGCAAAAATTTACTGGAAAGTAAAAATATGTGTACACGACCTATAGACAATATTGATACCTCACCGATATGAGTGAATGAATTTTTATTTCACTGCTTTGGTTGATTGCAAATCTGCTCTATCTATTACACTAGTATTGTATTAGTCGACACATTAGGGCTAATCGTATGAAAGGTCTATTTAATCAATGCGCCAGATATTAGCTATGTATCAACAGTTAAGGCTAATTACAGTATACCATTCTGTTTGTCTTGGAACCGTCATTATGAATAAAGCTTGTTGTGTCAGCATTTCATTTATTCATCTGCCTATTGATGAGTGACATATAAATGGAGGCCTGTCCACCTAATCACAATTCATAAGTGCCATAAAATGGGTGGTGTGCACGCATTGATACATGTCTGCAACGCAGTGAACACACTTCAAGCGTTTGTTAGCTATGATGAGCCAGGGACCATGAGACTTAGTATTCACATTTGTATTCACTGTCGTATAGCCCATGTCTATCACGTATTGAAAATAAAGCTATATTAAATACAGATCTCAAAGCACAAACATACGGATTGGATATGCTCCTCGCGTGGAACCATGTCCCAAAAATCCGCGTCCGGTATAAAACATAGTAATTTACCTTTTCTTTTTTCCTTTCTTGGCCGAGGTTTCATCTGTTTTTTTCACTCTTTTTAATTGTCTTTTTCTCTTTTAGAATTCATGAACTTTTCTTAAGTTCATGATTTTGTTTCAAACCCGTGAACTTTTTCCAAATCCTTGAACCTTAAAAAACCATGAATTTTTTTTTTCAAATGCGTGGATTTTTTATCAAAACATGTGGACTTTTTTCAAAATTGATGAATGTTTTTTCACATATGATGATATTTTTTCAAAATTGATGATTTTTTTTAAAACCGGTGGCGAGCTGAGGTTCCAAAAACCGGGAACATTTTTCTTGCAACTTATTTTTAGTTAACCTTTGTTTGAAAGTCCATGAAAATTTTCAAATCCGTGCATATATTTTTAAAATCAATGAACATTTTCATATCTGCAAGCGCTTGGGCCGGACTAACAGGCGCCTGACAGGAGCAATGTTGTCGCCTAGTTGGACCAAAACCTAAGCTTTATTTTTCGTCTTTTCCCTGTTAATTCATTTTTCTCCTTTTTGAACTTCATTGTGCTTTTTATAACTTTTTTACAAATTTAAAAATTGTTTGGAATACCAAAATAATAGTTTTAAGCAACTCTTTTAAATTAGAA